CAGAGCAGGCTCTGCAGAGACAACTGAGCTTCAGGTGTGAAACTGGCCTCAGTGGGAGTTTGCAGAAGCAGGTATCAAAAATAAAGGTTTGGGAATTTTGGGAAAAAAAAAAAAAAAATAGATTGTTCATTAATTCAAAAGCAAATAGTTTGGGGTTTTTTTCCCCAAATAACCCTTGTTTTATCAAAGCAGAGCTTTCCTCTGCATTGGCACAGACACAGAATACAGGAAATAAATAATAATAATAATAATAATAATAATAATAATAATAATAATAGATAGTTTTAAAGGTACAGATGGTTCTTTTAGGAGGCTTGCAATGTATTCCAAATGTCTGCCCAACCTTTTGGAGATGGTGCGGTGGTGATGGAGCCAAACGGGAAGATCCATCTCCGGCCACTCCGCAAAGCGAGGGAAACTTTGCCACTGGCCAAGAGCTGCCCAAAGGTGATAGGAGAGGTGAAAGAAAATGATAATAAAAGCAATTGCGGGACGCTGAGCAAGAGGGGGAAAAAGCCACCCAAGACAACACAGCAGCTGGAGAGCGAAGGCTTGCCTGGCGTAGGCCGATCGCCGGCCCCATATGACTGTACAGCTGCCACGGTGAATGATCATCGCTTACGCCGGGGTCAGCGCTGCCCTCGGGCTAAGTAAGTGAAAATAAATGGTTTAGAAGATAAAGGGTCTTTTAAAAAAATTATTTGTCTTGTTGTCACRTCCAAACTGTAATGGGAAGGGATTGGAGGAAGCAAGGCGCAGCTTAAATAGGAAACTGCCATCCCCGTGTCTCAGCTGAATAAATTATGGAGAGCACTGCAGCTCGTTCAGGGTATCCGCTGATCCGCACCAGGCCAGGGAGGCTCTTCCACAAATACCTGGGGTCTGGTCAYGCTTGTGGAAATACATCTAATACTCACCTAGCCTTATCCAAAACCTGGGATGCATTCCTTAGCCCGGTGCCTCCCAGCCCCGTCGAGATGGGTTTTCCTCTTGCTCTTCCGGGGGGGGGGTTAAAACTGGTTTTAGCTATTCCAGGCAGGGAAAGGGTTAATCAGCTTTCCTGGGGCAGCTTGCTGCTAAGGTGCCAGAAACGCTGAGGGGAAGGAATGACTTGCTAAAGATGGGACAATGGCACTGGCATTTTGCATTTGTTTCCAGGCTTTGAGATAGAACAAATGGGAGTCATTAGTGAAATGAGTTTGGGGAGTTCTAAATTAGCTGTCAGGCTGCCAAACCCCAAGAACTGCTATGTCAGCTCATTAATTCTGGGGAGCACCGGGATTGCCCAAACCGGGAGAGGAATCCTGCAAAATTCGGAGTCGATTAAAGGCGGCTCTTTCGCTGTAATAATATTTTCCGCACGGATTACACCTCCACGTGGAGCGGAGCCCGCTCCTACCGCAAGCGAAGCCTCCGGCGGGATGGAGCACGGCTGACGTCTAGACAGCTGCAACGTGCCCAACAAGGGCTGCCCCGTGGCCAACGCGGGATGCTCCGTCAGGACACTCGGTGGACGTTACATGCAAATTTGCATCCAAATTCTTGGAGTCGGGAATTATTTTTTAATTGGGATAGACCAGGTCAACGTTGCACGCCAAGGGCGATAACCCGCGGCAGCTGATGCTCTGCCTGGTAACTCCCAGCTCATAAGCACATCCCTCCCTTCGGCATCCCCACGGAAAGGGACGGCGGGAACCCTCACATCCCCCTCGCACGGCTCCGGGGCCACCCCTGCTTCCTGCTGACCCTGGGACGCGCAGCCAGGGAGGCCTTAAAACCCCAAAATCACATGGCTGTGAAATACAAATGAGGCCAAAAATGCCTTCACCCGAGCAAGGGAGCTCTGTCTCCCCCAGCGAGCCGGATACAAAGATAGCGAACAAACAGGATAGGATGTCTTCTGCCTTTTGTGAAATGAAAATAAATGAAAGGATCTAAGGTTTCAGGTCACTGATCCCTCTCTTCCCTATCTGTACCATTTATCGGAGGTAGAAAATAAAGGTTCCAGGTCCTTTTTTTTTTTCCTCTTGTCAAGCTCTTTAATGGATGGGGTTTTTTTTTTCCTCCTTCCCCTTTTTCATTTTCTGAATGAAAGAACCACTTAGGAACCTGTAAAGTAATAATAAGCTTATAACAGGAATATTGGTTTTTTCCGGGCCAGTGCAAACTCTTTCTGAATAGGCTGAAGAAATTAAAGTAAAAACGCAATCGGTAAGTAGATCAGTCTTTTAATTAGTTTATAGTCTGTTAAGAGAYAATATTTTGCTCACATAGAACTACTGTTATCTAAACATCTCAGAGCACTTTAGAAACATCAATTAACCCTTACAAAAAAAACCCACAAACTTGGGAGATAGGTAAGTGTATTTAGATTAATTAGTGTTTCTGCAAGCAGCAGGCATTATTAGTAGATTTAATTTAGTCCAATAATTGACTTATCTGTTAATGGATTCTAATTCTTCCAATTCATCTGAGAAGGGATCAAATCCATCTGATTAAAAGGATTAGATCGACTCAATTAATTCTATTAACTGGCTTAATTTGCCATTTAATAATTCGGCACATGGGGCCAGATCTATGCTGCAAATAGGGCATAAAATTACATGCCAGAGTTATTGTGCCAGTAAAGCCATGCACTTTGGAGCCCACGTTTTTGCTCCCACATGGAATTTGCAGGGCCAGATGCGGCCTTCAAAGAGCTTCCTCTGGCTGCGTTGCTCCAGGCCCTACACTTCTCAGCTCTTGTGCTGAGCTGTAGCCTGTTCATCCTTCTCTGCAGTCATGACGGGGCCTGGAAACCCGCAATTCCCAAAGGATGTGCCACTTCCCTTCATTCCTGGCCACTCTCTTCAACCAAGAGGTGAGAAGCTTCACAGAAGTCAGTAAAAGTTGCAATAAAACTAGCCGATTTCCCCAGGCTTCAAAGGCAAGGCAAGCCTGGCACTCCAGCCATTTGGAAGCTCTGGAGGTGCACAAGGAATGTCACCTTCTCCCTTGGACACCGCTCTCTCGCCAGATGTGCATGGATGGGGGCGAGGGGAAAGAGGAGCTCGATTTGCTTGCCCATCGTAGGGCTGGCAGTGTGGGTTGCCTGTGAAGAGCGTGCAGGACACGGCCACACTGCTCCTCAGAGCCTCCCCTATGGAGATGGAGGCTGCAAAGCCGTCGCCTACTGTTGTCTTCTCTCACTAGGGTCAAGTTGGAAGTACACGGGGCCACTTTGATGAGCCAGGAAACGGCTCCCTGCCATTCCGGATGCAATCAGGCATCCTGTATCCTAAGCCGGGCTCCAGCTCGGAGCTGCAAAGGAGGAAAGGAGGAAGAGGAGGAGGAAGAACAGCCATCAGCCGCGCCCGAGGAAAGGTGTCCYGCCACCGGGGCGGGTCTCACCAGCAACGCTGAGATTTGGATCAAAAGTTTGCAACTGTTCAGATCCCTGGACCCAGTTTAAGCCTCTCTCTGGTCTTGATCAAAGGTTAGTCTGTAATAATGCCACGGGGGGAGGGCTCCCCACACATAATGACTCCTGTGTCRCTGCCTTTGTGTCCAGGTTGGGCTGCAACGCAGATGGTTCTCACTTCAGTAACTCTGACATCTCTCCCCCCTTCATTATCACAGCTAGGAGCTCTGCGTGGCCACATCCTGCACCTCCAGGCCCCACCTCACTGTCTCCCCGATTATCATGCTCTACGTGTTCCCGTGCCAGGCAAGACGATGAACAGATTTCCATAACCTTTCAGCATGGCTGGAAACAGGGAGGCTTTGCAGCTTCACACATCAAGGGCTTTCCTGGGGGAAGGGAGCGCTAGCAAATGGACTCAACCATTGGACACAATGGAAGTAACCACRTAGCACTTGGGGTTGTGGGAAGGATTCCAGTGACCCAGAGGACTCGGTGGCCAGCAGTGGGGAGCAACTCAGGCTGCAAATCCAAGGTTCTGCGATTGCACGGCATTTCTGCTGGCCATGCGCAGTCTCCTGCGCGAGGATTTGTTGTTCAGGCACGATTGCATATGTATGAAGGGGACAAGATGGGCTTTGACACATAAATTAGCACTTGTCAGCTGCTGGCGGGCACACTTCCCTGCTGCACCCACTGCGAACGCCGCCTGCTTTGACAGGGAGGAAAGGCACATCGCGTGGGCTGCCATGGACCGCGGGCTGCGTGGACCCGGGAAGCTCTGCGCAGCACCAGGCTGCACGTCGGACCCAAAGAGGATGAATGGCATCAAATGACACTATAATTAGCAACCTGATGGTAGTGTCTTCTCCTATTTTATCAGAAAATTTTGGAATGACAAAGGACAAGAGGGATGAGCCTTCAGGGCAGGGCTTTCTCTAACCATCTCAGGTCTCCTTAGCCAACASGCTTGGGGGCTCATTTCATAGCAAGCAGGTACTTCATGTCTGGCACTTCCTACTGCACAACTCACCGTGCTCCTCTGCATTTGTTCACAGTGCCAGGAGCTGCCCTGTCAAGGTAGGGATGGAGCATCCCCATCCTGCTTAAAGCATCCTCAGGGAATAGCTGTTTTCAAACAAGTGGTGATTTGCCCTTCTCTGCCCCCCATTTCCACCCTCACCAGCAGCACATGAGAAATCAGCACCGTCTTATGTGAGTCTTGACCAATGTGTACATGACTTCTGCAGCAGCACGCGAGCTCATAGGGCTGCACGTCCACACCAGCCAAAAGGAGCAGGCCCCAACACGGAGGAAACCCTTCCAGCAGTGTCATTCAGAAGTAAACCAAGACAAGCAAAAGTATCTCTACCAAAACCATCTCAAAACGTACCAGGACTATGGAGCTTGTTCACATGAATCTCTCCTTCTGCTACCTTTTTTTTYGCATGCAAGGCAAGTTGAAAACAGTGGAACCCACCACGAGCCTACATCCAGTTATTTGTGCTCCAAAAACGCTGACTTCAAAAAGCTTCTCAACCCAACACACTACATTAAAGGTTTTGAACCATAGCCTTGGCATCCCGGTAAGTGTCCTTACCATATTTATCTCCATCTTCTCCTTTGGCGCTGATCCTCCTGCCTAGCACTTGGATGTGTTTCCCGCTTGTCCTGCTGTAGAGCTGATAGAGCCGAAGCTGCTTCCTGCTCACGTCGTCCCTTGCTCGCGTCTGGTTCTCCACGTGTATCCGAAAATCTACATTCTCCTCGGCAGCGAACATCTGYAAGCGGTGAGGGGAGAGACGAGAGAGAACCGACCATGAAACAAAATAAACCTCTTGGATGGGAAGACCGCACATCAACCTGCCAAAGGGCACATGGCGCARCAGCCCTTGGATTTGGCTGGCCTTCCCTTGACAGCTGAGGCCACTGTATCAGGCACTCAACATGTAATTCTACCCAGAGCTGGCTCTGGACAGCAAACCAAACCCTGATTTTTAACAATCAGACTGTGTGTGTGGTGGGTGGGGGGGGTTGTTTTGAGTGAAAAAGTCTGCTTTGATTTAATCCTGCTCAACTCATACAAGAAGAACCCATGTCTTGGCCATAGACAAGGTTCCCACTTGCGTAGGCATCGCCYCTGCCAGGGCGAAGGGGCGCACATGGGAGTCGGGTCTGGCCATGTCGCTACCCAAGGAGAACACGTGCTTCAACTTCTGCAGCTCTGCTGCTTCCCCAGCCCTAGCTCTTTACACTGACATTACTATCCTCAATTCCCAATACGCACAGGCATCCCATCCACCAAGCCAAGTGGTCACTTGGAGAGCGACCACTTGAGCCAGGAAGAGCATCTCCAGCGCTTGGAGCAAAGGAGCCATTCGCAGCTGGGTCTGCTCCCTTGAGTCATCTCCCATGTTTTTTCTGGCCTCCGGATTAAATTAGCCTTAGCTAACTGCAGCTTTACAACACCGCTAGAAACTTCCACTGACACATCTGCCCTTCTCTAGGGATCCTGTTTCCATCCTTAGCCATTTCCCAAACCACACTGAACAGCGTTCCCGCTGCAGCTCCAGGTCATGCCAGCTTGCGCAGGGTGAGAGGACCAGGCCACCGAGCAGTGTTGGAGAAGGCCGGTCCAAATGGGAGGCTCTGCAGCACCATCCAGGGCACTTCATATTAAGTAAAAAAAAAGCAGAGAAATCACTCCAAGAGTTGGAGATATTTGCATGCCCACACACATCCTGCATTGCACAAATAGTACCTCGGTGGCAGCCTCCCTTCACGGGACAGCAAATCATTCAGAAACCAAAAACAGCAAAGGATTATTGAGCAGCACACACACACAAAACTTCTTCACAATAGGCACTGTTTAATTTGGCCGGGACAAACCATATTTAAAGCCCACTCGTTGTTGATGAGCTCTAATGCCACGTACAAGTTGCAAGTGAGAGATGAAGTTCCCGCAAAATAAGAATCACATGCGGATTTAATGATGCCTAGGTTAGGGGCTGGCAAAAGCACAAAATTCACTCCTAGCGGAATTACTACTTCTAATACATTCCAGCTACATGGTTCTCCTCCTGGCTTGGGCAAAACAACGTTCTGATATATTGGTGTGGGGCCGAAGCCGGCAGCGCCGATGGAAAAGCGGCAATAAATCCTCATTGGGGCTGGTGCCACGCGGAAACGCACGGCAGCAAGTGGCCGTGACACGGAGCGGTGCCGCTCCAGCCCTCTGCATCCGTCACCTCCCACCAGGGAGCTGCTCTCGGCCAGCCAGACAAACCCTCCCCGCAAGCCACAACCTCTCCAGGACTTTGTAGCTATTCCACTTATCGAGTAGACACATGGATCAGCAGTGGGAGCTGAGCTCCGGGCAGGCAGCGCTGCCTTTCACTAAGCAACCCAAACACAAACATCATCGTCAGCCCAGTGGCGCTGGGATTCAAAGGGATGTTGCGGGAGCGCCTTTACCGCCCCTATTAAATGCTGAGATTGTTTGGATYCCGAGTCCTAGGGAAGAAACTGGTTTAACTCTCTTGTTTTACTATCATAAGTCAAAAGGAGACGGCAGGAGCTAAAAGCGTAGGTGGCACCAGGGAAGGTCCAGGAGCCACCGTGTCCAAAGAGACGATCAAGGTGACATCAGAAGTGAAGGACGGTGACTCTGCAATTCATAGGAGCAATCGATCCAAAAACAGCCCCCAAGCAGCAGCGATCTGACTCTCGGGATGCAAGAGCAGGAAAAGCCCTCACACCTGCCGGGATGTGCCCAAGGCTAGCGGCGCTCCCAGCCTCTGCTCCAGTCCCTCTCTGCTCCTTTCATCCCGAGTCCCTGCAGCTCAGGCTGAGCAAAGCAAGCAGGATTTGGCTTTTAACACGAGTATCTTTTTTCCTTCTCCCTGTATTTCTTCTTGTTTTCTTTTCAAATAGCATTGTTGCAAAGGACGCAGAAGTACTAAAAATAGAGATGTTCAAATAATGTTGACAGTCGGCCTCATAGCCACAAAGGCAGGGCTATTTGCAAAAAAAAAAATATTCTGGCTCCATCATTTTAAGATTTAAAACAGATTTTAAATCAAGATGACGTCGGTACATTGCTTTCACCACATGTTAATGAATTTCACATTTTTCTAGGAAAAAAACAAAACAGGTGGGCTTGGCAGTAGGGGGAAGGGAAGGTTGTTTTGCTTTCTTGGAAACTTCAAATAGAAAAGGCAAGCTGTGCTCCAAAGCATGGTTTAATTGGGCCTTTGAACAGAAACACCTTGGAGGTGGATGGGCTTCCCCAGCTATCTCCCTGCTCTGTCTCATCTCCCAGGACATCTGAGCTACCAGCCACCTCCTAGCACCCGGATCCTCCCAAGATGCATCCATATCCCGGCATTTCATATTAAATGGGAAATTGCACAGGACAAAACCTTTGTTTTCAGCTTGCTAAAGCAATCTCCTGCTTAAAAGCTGAGGAATGATAAGGGACCTTGAGTCCCCACAGCAAGTCTGCCTAGGTACCTATGACCCCATCCTCTTGCCAGCCACAGGCCTGGCTCTAAAACAGCTCTCCCAGCAGAAAAATCCTGGAAAAGAAAGGGAGATTTACAAGTGCTCTCCTTGGGGCTGACCTGTCCTCTGGACAAGAAGCCCTGATCCAGAGAAGCATCCAAATCTCCGGGATTTAGCTGTGTGCTTGAAGATAAGTACATGCTTAATCACTTTGCTGAAACAGGATGCTCTGCTGGAGCAGGGCCAAAGTGAATTAGCTGTGCCAGCCTGGGTTGCATCTGGCCCACAGCAGAGAGTATCAATATTCTAAAATAAAATTTCATGCCGTGTTGATTTCATAAGATAAAACCTATTAGATCGCTGCTGAAATCCACTCTCACAGTATCCCTGCCCTGAAGAGCGTACTCCCTCAAGCAGCTAACTTTACTGAGATAAGAAAGTCCATTTATATATATACACCATAAGAGAGGCTCTCTTTCATAAATCACATATAGAAAAAAAGAAAAAATTGGTAACATATGCCTCGTGCGGTAACTGATCGCCACCGCGCTCTCCGGAAGGTCACCCAAAACCAAGCCCATTCCCCCATATATATTTCTGCAACAATYGCAACCGCACAAGAACAAGCACAAAAATGTCTTTATCAAGAGGAAGCCACAGCTGAGAACTTGAAGGATTCAGCGTCTTCTATCACTGCTATGTGCTACTATTGCATCTCAAAGCGCTCTATGTGCAAAAGGACCACCTGTTCCCTGGACTTTTGATCTGAGCATCCGGGCAGCCGGCCCTGTAAGCACTGATCCTGTGAGATGCGCTCAATCCAAGCACGTGGAAAGCTGCAGTTGCCTTTCCAATTCGCTTCAACGGAGCATGGAGCAGGATCCCGGCCATGGAGCAGGATCCCAGCCAAGCACCTGCAGGGAACAGCCCATCCCGCCTCCCAGCTCCAGATGGGGAACGTGCCGTGGGGGACGCTCTCTACACCGAGGAAATGATTCCCTGGATCCTTTCAGCTCCTCCAGCATTTTGTTGGAATTTGGTACTCCGTTTTGTGGTCTGTTTTGCAGGACTACCCAACTGGCACTTGCCACAGTCTAGGAAGGACAATCTGAGCATCTCTCAATAGCTGCTTTCATGTAGCTCCATCTAATTCTCTGCCAACTGTTTGCAGCCTAGAAGACGTCGACCATTAAAACAGAGACCATCAGATTCATTTSTTCTTTTCTTTTCAAGTAGTTCCTAGTACCTTTATTATTTATCATTACATCTTCCAGTAACAACAGGCGACCTACAAAGGCATACTAAAATTACAGCTGGCAATATAAACGTTTATTCAAAGCAAAAAAAAGAAACCAGCATTTCTCTTTGAAATGGCCATCACCTCAACCAAGTCTATCAGAAATGCCTCCCCAGAAGCACACGAGCTTGTGACAGTAGGATGCTCTCTTGTCTCTCCACTTTCTACATTGTACCTGCCCAGACATTCAAGGGAGGGACATTCAGCCCCAGCTCCTTTTCGAACAACTGCAGAAACTAGAAACTATGTCTTATCTGTCTTTAGTCAGCCCCCCATGGCAATTTTTCAAGAACTCTTTTTTTGCGCAGAATTACTTTCAAATAAAGAAKGGCTTTCATTTGAAATGACTTTACAATGATCCATCAATTTAAAGAATAACTATCATATTTGCTAAATCCCAGATGGAGGGTGAGGGAAGGAGAATTTTGCTGACGCAGCCTAAGGTTTCAGCATGAAGTAATCCAAGAAACAGTCAGGAATTGCAAAAGTATCTGACAGCAGTGCTGCGCTCCTGGTGCTCCATTAGCTTATGCCACAGCTCTGCGAACACCAATGCACTGATCTGAACTGCAAGCAATCACGGCCCCGCCAAGGTCAAGGAAATCCCTATAGTGCCAAGCCATGCTTACAGCATCTGGCTTGCAACCCAACCAACCCCTACACACGTCTCCTTTTCTGTTTTTAGCTTTCCAGTAAGAAGGAACGTTAATATGTTATTGTTCACGTCACAAATTGTTACAGCCTTGGCCATTCGAGGCCCGCAGCACGACCGAATTAGCTGGAAGCTAGACTGCAGAATTTCCTGGTTTTTTGCTATCATATCGAGTCTCCGAACCTCGCTGGAGAGCAAACCATTTGTCATTCCCCAAGCTGCCCGAGCACCACAAAATCCCTCTCCCTGAGGGTCTTCCTGATTTCCAAAGATAAACAAATCGAACAATTCAAAGTCCCTTCAAAACTCCATCTGATAAGCAGGAAATA